TTTCAACAACCTCAAGGACTAAAGACCAACAAATATCAACGAGAAAAACTTCCAGAGGAGTAACTGCTAGGCCATTCAAAATCTTAAGTAAAAAGGATGTCTTTTAACTTTCAATTCATCTTTGGTGAAGCAGATCAAGAAAGACCGGTAGGATATAAATAAAAAGCAAAATTATGAAATTACGGCACTCAAGCCATAAATGCGAACTTAAACAGTCGCTGAGTGGAACGAACAGGACGCCCATCGGATGCGTATAAATTTCATTGGAGCTTAGTCATCAAAGTTAATAGTTACTTTCAAGCAAGATAGACTTTGGAACATATAGAAACCTATGAGGCTTTGTACTATAGTTTCCACTTGCTTTACCAGATCAATTTTACGGAAGACTAAGGTCGTCTAGCATTGTTTTATTTTCTACCTTTCTCTTAGGTAAAGATCTTTTCATTTTGCTGACATGTGGTCAATGCTGAGGTCTTCAGCACTTTCTTATAGTATCATGCACAGTTTTACCACAACTCTATGAAAAGGAAAAATAATTCGACTTTTCTAAAGCTGGTGACAATAATACTAAACAAACCAGGTGTGTGACAACAAGCAACAAAAATACATTTAGAATTTTGATTTTAAGAGATGAAAAAAAAAATTAAAAAAAAAGATTACACAGTTGAAGAAGAAGCATAGTATGTAAGACAAAAAGTGTAAATAATAATAATAATAAGAATAATAATAAGAATAATAATAATAATAATAAAAATAATAAATGGATGTTGAAAAGTGAATAGTAATGTAAAAGTTGACACAAGCAGAAATGAGTGTGAAGCAAACAAGAACTAAGTTTTTCCTTGTTTCTTTGAAAATGAATTCCATAATGCCTCTTTAGGTCAAAATGTGTTTGACTCAATCTCATCTTTAATAAAAGTTACGTAAAAGGTGTAGATCTTGTTGCGGCTGCAAGCTAACAGACTCAAGACACGATTAGGATAATCAAGTAGATCTGGAAAAGGTAACTTACTTTTAAAATTAAAACCGCAGCTAAACGCCGGTATTCCATTCTATCCCCACCAAGCCAATCCAGTGAAACTTTTAACTGAAAAGCATAGATCAACAGTCAAAAAAAAAATTACCATCTTGCTGCCAAGAGCATTAAAAAAGTTCAATGTACCAGCCGCTCCACTTCATTTGCTGTCATTGCTCCACCTGCCCTGGTTAAGTGCCCCAGAACTTTACTGGAAACTACCAACGTTCAGGTTCACGTTTGGCCTCGAATGTGGTTCGCATGTAAGTTGCAATCTTTGAAACATTCACAGCATTCTCCTCGATTGCTACATCTATAAGCTCATCAATGGCCCTCAA